CCCTTGTCCCGCCCTCGGCGGGCGGCGACGGCCTCGGCCGCCGCGGGTCCGGCCCGGCAGGTGGCGGAGCGCGGGGACGCGATGGCGGCGGCCGAGCCCGCGAGCTGCGCGCCGCCCGGGCCCGGCAGCAGCCGGCACGAGAAGAGCCTGGGGCTGCTCACTGCCAAGTTCGTGTCGCTGCTGCAGGAGGCCAAGGATGGCGTGCTGGACCTCAAGGCGGTGAGCGCGGGCCGCGGTCTCAGGAGGAGGAAGGGCGGGCCGGGGGGTGAGGGGAGCGGGGCGTGAGCAGGGGCCGCGCCGCGCCGCGCCGCCGACAAAGAGCCGCGGCGTCCGCGTGGCGTTCACCTCAGCGCGCCGGGCCTGGGCCGGGGCGCCCGGGGGGTCTCCGCCGGTGCGGACTGGCTGCTTTCGTGGGCGATTCCTGTGAGGGCGTCTGTCGGTTGTTGAAAACGCGCAAGCAGGCAAAACCCGAGTTTGCCACCTCTTCTGGATGAAACAAACAAAACGTGAACTCTTCAGTCCTCCTCTTAAAATAATAATAGTAAATAAAGACACCTCTCCCTCTTCTTGTCACAGTCCTGGTGACTAAGAGGGATGTTTGATTTGTGAGTTAATTTGGTATCTGAAGCAAGCAAGCAAAACCGGTGTTTGCCACCTCTTCGGGATGAAACAAACAAAAAAGTCAGCGCTTCAGTCCTCTTAATAATAGTAAATAAAAATACCTCTTTTACACTTTTCACAATCCTGATGACCAAGAAGGATGTTCGATTTGTGAGTTAATTTGGTATCTGAAGCCAGCAAACAAAACCCGAGTTTGCCACCTCTCCTGGATGAAACAAAAACAAAGTGAACTCTTCAGTTCTCTTAATAATAGTAAATAAAAACACTTCTCGCTCTTACACTTCTTTTCATAACCCTGATAACTAAAAGGGATGTTTGATTTGCGACTTAATTTGGTGTCTGATACACATTTATAAAAGTGAGACTTGCCGTCACACGACGAGGAGAAGTTCAGTAACTTCACCGAAAGAGGTGGAAGCGCCTCGTGAACTCTCCGGTTTCCTGAGACCGTGTGCTTGGTCTGTTACTACAGTTTCAGAATTTTCAAACAACAACATGCATCAAAAGCTGTTCCGTTAAACAAAGTGACTTAACCGTTCCAGGCCGGATTTGGAAGGATTCCACAGCGCTGAGGAGCAAGAGAATGTGATCATTTGAATTAAAATTCAGCCAGCACACCCAGTTTAAGTAGAACTAAAGCTTTAAGAACAAACGAATATTACTAATGAGTCAGTAAGCATCGCAGGCTTTTCTTGGGTTTTCTTCTTGATTTTGTTTTGCCCGGGGGGTTTGTTCTTGGCCGTTAGGGGGTTGTTGGACAACCTTACCTCCCTTGAAGGCTGCAGTTATCAAGGCTGTGCTGAAAGTAGGCTGCAGCGTCTGAGCAGAGAGGGTCTTCTAGTTCTCCCTGACCTGAAACTCCAAAAAAGAGGCCAACTTGATGGCCCCTGCTAGGAGCCCTCCTCTCAGGTTATCCCAGGAGCTGAGGTGTGTCTTGGAATGTCCTCTCCATCTCCTGGGTGTAGTAGGTGTTCGTTCAGTAAGTGCTTGTTGAGTTATCTGAATTGTTCTACTTTATACAAACAAGGCATGATGCACAAATTTTGCATTTCTGGAGGTGATTTATAGTCTTTTCTTTTGGAAGTGTTATGCCTAGAATTTTCCCACACCTTTGGAAATTCTGGTCCTTTTCTTCCCCACCGTCCCCCCACCCACAGCTCTTTCCTCCATAGCTCTGTCCCTCCCTCAAAGTGGTTTATAGCATATATAATAGTATTTAAATTGTTATGAACTAAATTGGATTCTGTTTAAAGAATTTCACAGGAAGTCATGAGGTCATTGGTGAAAGCCAGGGATGTTACACAACACAGCTTGCAAACTGCTATTCACAATCTAGAAATTCAGTTGTAGCCTGTGCCTTCAGTAGGGAATCAGGAAAATTTGGGGTTTTCCAGATGAAACTGAGCTCTGAGGGCTGACTGTGAGGGCTTCTACAACTTCCTTGGAATAGGATGGAACTTTGCCCTTGCTTTTCCCTCAATTCTTTGTGGTCTTCCTGTTTCATCGGTGGTCAGATTTCGCTGTCCAGAAGTCAAAAAGGCAGTGAGCGGGAAGTGGAGTTTTAGTATTTCATAACAACTTTGTTTCATTCATCCTGAAACTTTCCTAAAAGTTCAAAGGTTTCTGCAGTAACAGTAGGTCTCAGTATATTAATGACTTTTTACTTGTAGAAAGCAATTTGAAAAAACAGTATTCTTTTTTACATATATATGAATATGTTTGTAAACTTCATTTATTTACATTTGCTTATATATGTGTAAAATCTTATATTATAAAAATCTTATATTGAAATCTTTCCAGTGATGTTTCTTACTGTGCACCATTGTAAAAGCTCATAACGACTTTTGATGATACATGTTGAAGATGGATTGACTTTGATAAGTTTCTCTAATTTGAAAATAGTTATAAAATCATTATCTTATATTCTTAATTGGGACTAGTGTATTTCTTCCATTCTTACTTGGGGGTGGTCTATTTCAACCTTATACACTTGATATTTTTTAAGAGCAATTAATGAAAGATTTCTGTGAATATCATGACTATAAAAAATAATATTAATCATCACATCCAAGTGTCTTAGATATCCATAAAATATCCACACTACGTAGATGCTGTTTCTTTCCTAACTTAGGACATATACTACTGAAGAATAAGAACATAATGCTGTATCTTAGTGATGCCTTTCTTCTTAGTAATTTAACTAATTGAGGACATAGCTTAACAAAGCAAACACATTCTAATAAAGCTATTCTAGTATAATTTAACCATAAGGAGGGAATGGAAACACCTTCCAAATAGTTTAAGATATTTTTATTCAATATCTTCCTCCTACACCCGCACCATATAGCCTCCTTTACAACAGTGGGAGTGGGGTAGTTATTCTCTCTTTATTCCAGTGAGATGACAAGTTACGTCATGGTCCTATCCATTTATGTGGTTTGTCAATTTATGCTGTTAGTAGTTGGCATTTATTGCAAGCTTAGTACGTGCCAGGCATTTTACATATATTAACTAATGTTATCCTCCTAACTTTAGAAATTTGGGCTTATCATCCCCAATTCACAGATGAGAAAACTGGTAGGTTATGTAACTTGCCTAATGTCACACAGTAGAAAGTGACAGCTGTGACTTGAAACTAGACCATTTTTTCTTATTTTCTGTGCTATACTGCCTTTCAGTATTCCTAAAAAAGTTAATTTCTTATTAAGTTTTTCATCTGTATAAGGGCATGGAATCTTTCTTGAAAGAAAAATGCATGATTATTTTTATTATATCTCTACTCGTGATAGAACAGAAAGTATTAATCTCCTGCATTGAAAATGAAGATATTGATGACAAATTCCATAATATTTCATAAATTAAACTAGTTCTATTTTTCTAGAACTAAGAAGTTAGTTAGGATAATTATGACTATATATTTTTTTGAAAATTCCTATTATAACTAGGTTTTTATATTTGCCATTTTGATGCCATAATCAACTTTATAAAGTATGCTCGATTCCTTATCTTTTATTATAATTGTTCAAGCTATCAATTGCCTGAATGATACCTGGATTCATAGGATAAAATATTTATGGTGTTTCTTATCTCACAGGTCCTTGACTCACACTCATTTATGATTAGCTGATTAATACATATCCTGCAAGAAATACATGATTTACTCTAAGGCCTTAGTTTGTGATATTGAGCAAAGATATGATGTTACAGAATAAAGCAAGCATTATCCTAAGGAGAGGGATTTAGGTGGAACAGCCATTACTTTAGTACATGCTTAAATCTTCACAGGACAATTTCACTTGTGAGTATATACCCCCAAATAATTGAAAACAGGGTCTTGAACAGATACCAGTATACCTGTGTTCTTAGCAGCATAATTCACAATAGCCAAAACGTGGACACAACCCAAGGGTCCATCCACAAATGAATTAAATAAGCAAAATGTGACATATATGTATAATGAAAGGTTATGCGACCTTAAAAAGGAAGGAATTTCTGACACATGCATAGGTGAACCTTTAATACCTTAGCTAGTCACACAAAGATGAATGCTGTATGATTCCACTTACATGAAGTAACCAGAGTAGTCAGGTTCATAGAGACAGAAAGCAGAGGAGTTGTTGCTGGGGGAGGGGAGAATGGGAAGTTGTTGCTTCGTGGGTGTTTTGGGGCTCAGTTGTGCTCCCTCAAAATCCCTATGTAAAAGTCTTCACCCCGGGTATATTAGAATGTGACTGTATTTGGAGACAAGGCCTTCAAAGAGATGATTCAGTTAAAACGAGGCCATTAGAGTGAGCGAAGGTAGTCTGACTGGTGTCGTGTGAGAAGAGGCAGGCTGGACCCGTGGGCAGCGGGGATGCCCACGCAGAGGGCAGCACGGGTGAGGACAGGCGAGGGCCACTGTCTGCAAGCTGAGGAGAGGATGTCAGAAGAGATCAAGCCCGCCCACGCCATGATCTTGGACTTCAAGCCTCCAGGACTGAGACAAAATAAATTTCTCGTGTTTGAACCACCCAGTCTGTGGTATTTTCACTATGCAGCCCTAGCAAACTAGTACTGTGGGTGTAGAGTTTCAGTTGTGCAACCTGAGAAGAATTCTGGAGAATTGGTTGCACAGCAGTGTGAAGGTACTTAAAACTACTGAACTGTACACTTAAAAAAGGGTTAAGATGCCAATTTTATATATGTGTACTTTACTGCAGTTAAAAAAAGGTAAAACAATAATGCAGTACCACTGTGTACCTAATAGAATGGCAGAAATCCAAAACACTAATACCACCAAATGCTGGCAAGAACGTGGAGCAGTAGGAACTTTCATTTGGTGTCAGAGGGAATGCAAAATGTTAGAAATTTCTTACCAAACTGAACATACTTTTACCATACAATCCAGCTATCACACTACTTGGTATTTATGCAAAGGAGTGGAAAACTTATGTTCGCAAAGAAATCTGCACATGGGTGTTTATAGCAGCTTCATTCATAATTGCCAAAACTGGGAAGCAGTCAAGATGTCCTTGCGTAGGTGAACTAATGAATAAACTGTGGTACATCCAGACAACAGAATAGTATTCAGTGCTGGAAAACAATGAGTTATGACCATGAAAAAACATGGAGGAACCTTAAATGCATATTACGAAGTGAGAGTAGCCAATCTGAAAAGGCTGCCCTATAAGACTCCTACCATATAAGGGTCTGGAAAAGCCAAAACTATGGAGACAGGAAGACCTGGGGTTCAGGGAGCGAGATGAACAGGTGGAACACAGGACTTTCTGGGCAGTGAGACTGGTGTCCTGTACCCACAGAAGGCACCACACCAACAGGACGCTGATGGGAGCTGTGGATTTGGGTCATTGTGATGGGTCACAGTGGGCTCATCAGTTGGGACGCACCACTCCGGGGAGGATGTGGATCACGGGGGAGGTCCTGCATGTGTGGGGGCAGGAAGCATACGGGAGATGTCTGTTTTACACAGTTCTGCCGTGAGCCTCAAGCTACTTTAAAAAATATATTCAAATGCGTATGTGAAGCTTCTCTGGATACATCTATTCGAGGGTCTGACTATTAAACATCTGTTGAATACAAGATGCATGACCAGATGGGAAAAGGGAGTCCTTAGGAGACTAAAGCTCTGCAGCGCTAATACACACGGTTACTAACAGCTAATGCTAAGTGAGTGGCACTAGGCCAGCTGCTTTACTTTTAACAGCACATTTCATCCTTGTAACAAAACTGTAAATGAGTTACTATACTTTCATTTTGCTCATTAGGAGATTGAGGTTTAATGAGGTTAATGGGCTACAGCCAGTATCCGCAGAAAAGGAGGAAAGAAGCCAAATAATCTGATGTCAGAACTGATGCCATGTTAAGTAAAGTACCTGCCTACCTCCAAAGTTTTGGTATAATGTGAAGAATGACTTTTCTAGAGAACAAGAAAATAAAAAAGAAACCGACCATCTCATTTTCCAGTTCTGGACCAGCTTATAGCTAAAAGAGTACTAATGAGTTCTTGGTCTTGATTCTGCTACTTGTCAGCAGTGTGTCTTGGCTAGGTCCCATGTCCTTTCTGTTTTATCATTAAGGTGGAAGGGGGAAGAAGAGATGAGCCATCCTCAGTGGTGGCAGTAGTTGTGAACTGAGACACACCAGGCAGATTTTATTTTTGTGCAAAACTACAGTCCCTCCTCCCCAGTGCTTCAAGAAAACTGGTGGCCTTGAAAGGGATTATACTGACTTTCTCAGTGTGCAGACCAAAGGTCAAATGTATCAGCCTCTCCTGAATTTTTAAAGATAATAGATTCTAACATCAGACCTGGGAAATCAGGTTCTATAGCGCTAGAGCAGGAGCCTAGGAATTGGCATTTTTACATAGATACCCCCAGGTAGTTTTGATATATTCTGACATCTGAGAACTATGGAATGAAGTCTCGTTCCTCTTCTTTTCTGCCTTATTCATGAATCAAAAAGCACTGTTCTGGTAGTAGAAGGAGTTAATGTTGGAACAGAATTGACCCTTTAGGAGCTCACTAAGACTGATGAGAGCTACTCTTGGAGAAATGTTGGAGGCTATGGATGGAAGAAATTCCTCTTTTATATGCTCTGGAATAGTCTCTGCTTATGTCCGAATAGCAGTATAATATGGCCAGGTTTGATCCCTGGGTCAGGAAGATCTCCTGGAGGAGGGCATAGCAACCCACTGCAGTATCTTGCCTGAAGAATCCCATGGAGGAGGAGCCTGGAGGGCTGTAGTCCAAAGGGTCGCAAAGTCGACTGAAGCGACTGATCACGCACACATATATGGTGTTTAAATCTTAATTAAGGGACCTAATTTCTAGTTGAAATTAGTAAGCTTTGAGAGTCATTTCTTTAATGGAATAAATTAAAATGTACTTTTACGGTAAAATTATATTTTATTTTACTTACTGGGGAATAGGAAAATTATAAGATTTAAAATTTTATATTGTTAAAAAGAACAAGATTGGCATAATTGCAGCTAATCATCATTTGTGTTCCAGGGGACTGAGCAGTGAATGAAAGGATGCTCAAGATGATGCAAGGGCCTCCATTGCTGGGAGAGTCTTCCCTTGACTGGGAACTGTGTAGGCACAACTGGAGACATGTTAAGTATATTCTCATCTAGGGGAAGAGCACGGAGGATTTAGTTGAGACCCTCAGTTAACAGATTTCATTAGCAGAGTGCCCAAGTATTGAGCTTTTGTTAATTTGATGCATCATTTTGCTTATCTTGTTAAATTTTTAAAGGTAGCGTTGCTGTTGTTCAGTCTCTAAGTTGTGTCCAACTCTTTTGTGGCCCCATAGACTAGTCTGCAGTCCACTGGGCTCCTCTGTCCATGGGATTTTCCAGGCAAGAATACTGGAGTGGGTTACCATTTCCTTCTTCAAAAGGTAACTTAACAGACTAGAGACACACTAGCTAGAGAATTACTAGCTCACTTAACAGGGGAAAAAATACCAGAAAGCTTAACAAATCTGTGAAAAGGATCAAAAAATAAAATGCATGAAAGCATAATACACAGAAAACATCAAATGAGTAATAATTCAAACCTACTAGTTTCTCCAGTATGTGAATGTATCCAATTCCTTTCTTCTTAGTAAGGTGGTTTAGTGGGGAAAAATTCAGGCATCTGTTGTCTACAAGAAAAGCACCAACATAGGAAAGGAATCAAAAATTTTGAATTATAGTATACCAGGCAAAGAGAAATCAGGAGTAAAAGTACTAATTTCCAGAGAAAGTCTACCTTAATATCAGTTGCACTCAATGGTATAAACTGATAGAGATCATAATCCAAAGGTGAATCGTGAAAGTCATTGTTTAAATAGTGCATAGCAACATGGATTACACGTACATTTGTCTGGACATGTGTTCTACATTATTCTTTAGTATGGTACATTTGGGTGTGATAAATATTTCTTATAAGTACATTTCTTTTAGATTTTGCCATTTAAGACTGAATTTCCCCAATTATTAGTTCATGGATCTCCCTTTCTGTCTTAAACTTGATATGTTTGTACAAGGGAGGTTTACCTTTTTTTTAAGTTAAAGTATATCTAAAGGCAAAATGACAGAATACTGAAAGAGAAATTCCCCAGGTCGGTAGGTGCCCAATATGCTACTGGAGATGAGTGGAGAAATAACTCCATAAAGAATGAAGGGATGGAGCCAAAGCAAAAACAATACCCAGTTGTGGATGTGACTGGTGATAGAAGCAATATTCGATGCTGTAAAGAGCAATATTGCATAGGAACCTGGATTGTTAGGTCCATGAATCAAGGCAAATTAGAAGTAGTCAAACAGATGGCAAGAGTGAATGTCGACATTCTAGGAATCAGCGAACTAAAATGGACTGGAATGGGTGAATTAACTCAGATGACCATTATGTCTACTACTGTGAGCAGGAATCAGAAGAAATGGAGTAGCCATCATGGTCAACAGAAGAGTCCGAAATGCAGTACTTGGATGCTATCTCAAAAACGACAGAATGATCTCTGTTCGTTTCCAAGGCAAACCATTCAATATCACAGTAATCCAAGCCTATGCCCCAACCAGTAACGCTGAAGAAGCTGAAGCTGAACAGTGCTATGAAGACCTACAAGCTAGAACTAACACCCAAAAAAGATGTCCTTTTCATTATAGGGGACTGGAATGCAAAAGTNTGAACTAGTCAATAAATTGAAACCACTAGCTAACTGTGGGCGGGGAATTAAATTAGACATCTTACCTCAGATTGCACACCCCTACAAATGCCAAAAATGTAATTTTGATGGAGAAAAGACCTTTCAAAGAAAGAAAGCTCATTCCTGAACCCCAAGGTCAGCTCCCCAGCTTCCCACTGACAATGGAAATGAAGGGATGGAAGGAACAGAAACTGTTAAAGTAACAGCTGTACTATTTGGAAACACCACATATGAAGGACATGAGGTAAGTTTCAGAGAGCTCTGTGACCTTAATCTTGGATGATGATTCAACAGCCTATGTAGCATCGTCTTCTGATTAACTCACTCTTAAGATCCAAAACCTTCCAAGACTCTCTACTTACTATCAAATGAAATAAAAAATCCTTTCACTGAAAACTGTGATATTCAAAACCCTAACCTACTTTGTGGTCTCATTTTTAACACTCCCCTATGATGCTGAAGCTGAAACTCCAATACTTTGGCCACCTCATGAGAAGGGTTTACTCATTGGAAAAGACCCTGATGCTGGGAGGGATTGGGGGCAGGAGAAGGGGACGACAGAGGATGAGATAGTTGGATGACATCACCGACTTGATGGACATGAGTTTGAGTAAACTCCAGGAGTTGGTGATGGACAGGGAGGCCTGGTGTGCTGCGGTTCATGGGGTATCAAAGAGTCGGACACAACTGAGCGACTGAACTGACTGACTTACTGATATCTTGAAATAGCATACAAATAGTAGAAAACTTGGGAAAAAATGAATATAGTCCGGAATAAAAACTACCCAGTACACCACTACCCCGAGAGCGACTATTTTCAATTTTCAGTATTTCCCCAATTTGTTAACCTTTTTATAGCTAAGGTGATAACTTTTATTTTCTCAAATCGCAAACATAAATTTTGAGAGCCTCAATTTAGAGCTAGCCTCAAAAACTTACCATTCTTACAGGTAGGTGTATGTAAGTTGATTCTAGGTTTTTCCATTTCATTCAGTAAACACGAGTTAACCAGTGTGCACCCTGGCCCCTTCCTTAGTAGCTTGGAACTTATAGCTGAGGGGCAGAGGGAGGGAGACGGGAGCTGGACCCTTCTCAGGGCTCGGAGGGGTATGGACCCGCTGAGCCCGGGGGGCTCCTACGGGAGAGCCGCATTACTCCAGGGGGCAGTGAGGGGCGAGCCAGCTCCACGGGCCTCAGAGACTCCGGTGCTGTTCTCATGTATGAAGTGGGAGCATTTAAGGTCAGGTGGTTCTCAGAGCAGCACCCAGCGCCTCCAGGACCCCCGCCCCTTGGGGCGTCCTTCCCCCACCTCTTCAGCACCTGGCCCTCCAGCCACAGTCCTTCTGGGGCCTCCCTCGCCCTCTGCTTCTGCCCTAGGGCTGCGGGTGCGGGCTTTCCCTTCTGCCTGAAGCAAATGTTTGCACACACATAGACTGTCACCCCCCCCACTTTGCTTTTGCCTGAAGCGCATGTATACACATACACCCGTTCCCTTCTGCCTGGAGCGCATTTTCACACACACACACACTGCCCCCACACCCCCACCCCCCACTGGCCGATTCTCTAAACCCTGTGGTCTCAGTGTAAATGTTTTCTTAGATGCAGTGATAGACAGAGTATGACTCCTGAAAGATACCCATGGCCTCATGCCTGGGACCTGTGACTGTGGTGTGTGCTCAGCCGCTTCAGTCGTGTCTGACTCTGCAACCCTATGGACTGTAGCTGCCAGGCACCTCTGTCCATGGGGTTTCCCAGGCGAGAATACTGGAGTGGGGTGCCATTTCCTTCTCCACAGGATCTTCCCAACCCAGGGATCAAACCCACACCTCTTATGTCTCTTGCATTGGCAGACGGATTCTTTACCGCTGAGCCACCAGGGAAGCCCCATGAATCTGTTCAGTTAAGGGAAATTAAAGTTGCTGATCAGCTGGTAGTATTAAGACGAGGGAATTTTCCTGAATTATGCAGTTGAGCCCCCTGATAATTACAAGGGTCTTTAAAAGTGGAAGAGGGAGCCAGAGAGATGGCAGCGTGGAGACAAGTCGCCTGACCATTGCTGCAGGACAGAGGGAAGTGAAGTCACTCGGTCATGTCTGACTCTGTGACCCCACGGACTGAGCGGGCTGCCATTGCCTTCTCCAGGAGATCTTCCCGACCCAGGGATTGAACCCTAGTCTCCTGCACTGCAGGCAGACGCTTCACCGCCTGAGCCCCCAGGGAAGCCCTGGAGGAGAGAAGCCACTGGCCAAGGAGTGCCTCCGACTCTGGAAGCCGAGATGGGGTCTGCGCTAGAGCACCCCGAAGGAGCACAGCCTCACCATATCTCGGGCTCAGGGAGGCATGTTTGGGCTCTGATTTACAGACCTGTAAGATAGTACATCTGCGTTGGGTTAAGTCCCTAAATTTGTGGTGATTTGGACAGCAGAAATAGGAGACTGGCTCAGATGCAGTTTCTGACTCTTCTCCCTTAATGTAAAGTACCTGAATTGGGTTCCCGTTTATTCTCTTTCTCAGCTACCTGTTCTTTTTCTTAATACCCTTTATCACAAATGGGGTTGATTCTTCCTTTATTTGCCTGTGGTTCCCCTCTAGACCAAGTGCTCTGTGAGGCGCGGGTCTGTGTACACACAATACCAGTACACACAGTAGGTGGACTGATCCAGCCAGTCTGTCATCAGCTTCCAACAAACAGAATGGATGTGATCAAGTTTGAGTTAGATGGCAAGGCATTCCCAGCAAGGCAGCAAATGCCAGAGGCCAGAGAAAGAGATGGTACATTTCAGAAGCTATAAATCAGATGACTGTTGCATTTAGAGAATATGGTTGTCATTTAGGCATGATTATAGGCCTGAACTAAGGTACAAGCAGTGGAAATATAAAGAAATGGAGAAATGTTTCATCGTAGAAGGGACAGAACTTGGATGCTGAGTCTAGGCAGCAGATTGCCGAGTAATGCCGTGGTCAGCTGAGTGGATGGTGGTGATTTTCACTTAGACTATACAAAAAGAGAAAAGGAATTTGGAGGAAAGGAAAGTTCAGTTCTAGACATGTGTGAGATGCCTACAGGCCATCCTTGAGTGGCTATTTGGCGACCTGTGGGATTTATGAATCTGGAGCCCAGGAGGAGACCAGGGTTGCCAGTTTGATTTGGAAATGATTGGTTCATGAGGTTTAGAGTGGACAGAGGACTAAGCAGAATTGTGGCAAACACTCACAGCCCAGGAGCAGCGGAGAAAAGGAGACTTGAGAGGAAACAGCCTAAGACCGAGGAGGAAGAAACCTATGGACCGGTGGCAGCAAGGCCAGGGATAGTGTTTGAGGAGGGAGGGAACCAGTCAGGTGCTTCGGGGGGTACAAGACTTTGTAGTATCCCTTGGATTTAGCAACAGACATGCAGGAAACATTTTTGGCATTTAGACATTTTGAATGATCTCTGCTTCTGATAATCTAAACAATGACTAGATCAAAGAATATTAAAAATGCAAAAAACTTTGATGGCTGTTGCCAAACTGCTTTACAAAAAAGTGGTCCTTATACTCCACTCGAAGCGTATAGTCATGACTAGGAACCCTCACCACATCAGGAACAGCCCAGTGGCTGAAAGGTCTGCCTGCCTGCTTAGGCGCTCAGTCGTGTCCCGACTCTGTGCAATCCCATGGGCTGCAGCCCGCCAGGCTCCTCTGTCCGTGGGGATTCTCCAGACACGAATACTGGAGTGGGTTGCCATGCCCTCCTCCAGGGGATCTTCCCAACCCAGGGATCAAACCCAGGTCTCCTGCACTGCAGGTGGATTCTTTACCATCTGAGCCACCAGGGAAGCCTACATCCTGACTTTATTTACCATGTTCAGTGGCCTTGCGCAAGTTACTGAGTTTACTTTCTGCTTTTACAAAAATGGTAACAATGGTTGTTATTATAGGAGTGGCTAAAGGGAGTTCCTGCTTTTAAAACACTGAAAGTGCCCGGCACATTCTAAGTGCTGTTTCCAAGTAGATAACTGGGTATTCTGATGTTTTCATATTCTGGAGATTTGAAAGGTGATGAATAATATCTCTGCTTTTTTTTTTTTTTTGGTCAGCTTTATAAAGGTATGATTTCCACCCATTCAGTTTGGTTCAGTCGCTCCGTCGTCTCTGACTCTTTGCTCCCATTCTAAGTGTACAATACAATGAGTCTGACAAATGCTTGTACCTGTAACCTCCACCACAACCAGGTGTAGAGCATGTCCATCACCCCAAACAACTCCCTTTTGCCTTCTCCCAGCCACACCCTGACCTCCGCACCCCACTAATGACCATCGCTCCGTCTTCTTTTCCATGGACTAAAACAGCTTTCTGGGAGTGCACTCACACAGAATGCACTCCGGCTTGAGCTGCTTTCCCTCATCAGGACGTTTTGGAGACTCACACCTGCTGTTACCTGTATCCGTAGTTCATTTCTTTCTGTCCCTGATTGGTATTCCGTTTTGTGCCTGTACTTCACTTTGCTTACCCATTCACCTGCTGCCCCCAATTTTGGGCTTTTATTCAGGTTCAAGTCTGTGTAGAGGTGTATTTTCATTGTTTCAATTTGCATTTCTTTATTCTTTTGTTGACTCTTTAAAAGTTTGAAAACTTTTTTAAGGCTATTAATTTTGGGGTGTGAAATGTGTCTTTTGTCTGTTTTAATTTGTGGTTTTAATGCTTTCTTATATGTTAGTTTTAATTATTGAAATACTCAAATCTTTATCTTTTCATTTTAATTTCTTCTGTAGATTTGACATTTAGAAGTTTTCGATGAAGGATATTTTTGACATTTTGATGCGTGTGTGTGTGTGTGTGTGTGTGTGTGTGTGTTTGAGACAGATCCCCAGTTATTTGGGGGTGGGGGTTAATCTGTCTTCAGAATAGGCTGCCAGTCACAGTTGTGAAGGAAACTGACAGGAAAATGGAGTGTAACTCAGCCATTGATCACATGCACTGTAATCCCTTTGAGATTTTTAGGTTCATTTTAAAATCCAACTAGTGTATCCTTGAATGTGACAAGTCCAGGTATTCTGAAACCATTGTTTATCCTTTAGATAATAAGACTTTTGTCCATAGCAGGAGTTTTCTGATTAGCTAAGGGTTTATGTCTATTAATGACATTTCTTATAGAAGAACATTTAACCATTTTGGTTTGAAAAATTTCCAAAACCATTACATGTCTGTTTAAAACTAAAAAGACTGCACTTAGTTTTAGTCTAACTCAGATTAGTCATGATGAATATTATTTTTTGTATCCCTGAGAGGTGATAACCCCAAAGCTTTTCTGAGTATGGTGGATTATTGCTCTGTCCAATGGCTTTGGCTTTGTCTGTGAGTTTTTTATCCTTTCTATAATTTCTGCCACATCTCTTGATTGTTGTTGCAATTCCTCACCAGTGTCATGGAAGGTACTTCAGTTCTCCTACGCACATTGACATTAAATAGCCCCACTGTTAGGAATCATAGAAGAGGAATACATAAGAGCCAAATGACTGAACTCTTCGAGTAGTAAGACATAGCTTTTTGCATCACTTTTTGCTTCTACAGAAGTCCTTTCTCCTACTTCATTGTGCTTGACTGTGTTCTGAAGTATTAAAGTTGCAGATAAATAAAGATGGTCTTTATGTTCCATGATACATTTTTCAAAGGTCGGTGTTTTCTTACTATAAGTGAGAAACTGGATCAATAATAGTCATAATAGCTAACACGATGTAATACTTGTGCAAGGCAGTCTCCTTAGTGTTTTGGATATACTCATTTACTCTCCACAACATCTTAACTGCCATCTCACAGCCTAGCCCATGTCCTTGACTTCTTCACCACTTCTCTGGTTCCTAACTTCTAACCATTACTTCAGTCACTCAGTCGTGTCTGACTCCTTGCGACCCCATGGACTGCAGCACACCAGGCCTCCCTGTCCATCACCAACTCCCAGAGTTTATTCAAACTCATGTCCATCGAGTCGGTGATGCCATCCAACCATCTCATCCTCTTATCATCCCCTTCTCCTCCCACCTTCAATCTTTCCCAGCATCAGGGTCTTTTCAAATGAGTCAGCTCTTCGCATAAGGTGGCCAGTGTATTGGAATTTCAGCATCAGTCCTTCCAGTGAACACCCAGGACTGATCTCCTTTAGGATGGACTGGTTGGATCTCCTTGCAGTTCAAGGGACTCTCGAGAGTCTTCTCCAACACCGCAGTTCAGAAGCATCAATTCTTCAGCACTCAGCTTTCTTTATAGTCCAACTCTCACATCCATACATGACTAACCATCAGGGTTATAAAAAATGTACAGATGCAGAGCCCGGTGGTAGAATAGCAGATGCTGCTTAGTTTGGTTCCTGGTTTAACAACGTAACGTACATGAGAATTTCAAAGCATGCAGCTGGGGACCCCAGCGAACGATCTCTGGAACTGAGTCTTAGGAGGCTTCTCCTGCTTACATAGGTATTTTATCAACTGTCTTGTTTTCCTTTTGAGAGCTCTTTGGTGACTTGCTAAGACAGTGCAATTAAGCTTCTTTTTAAAGGCTTCTGCAGAGTCTGTTAAAAACGGTTTAAGACTTAGAACAAAGTTAAAGCCTTATGCACTTGAAATATCATATACAGTAGCAGTTAGTTTGGGGTGGTGAAAGCCCCGCAGACTTTTAAGGAGAGATTCCTTCAGGAAAAGGTTGAAACACTTGCCTGATGCTTAGTGCTGCTTCTGGACAGAGCGGTTTGTATCCTGAAAGTAAGAATGTTATTTTGTGGTGTCTAATTTCCTTACGTGTAACATCTACAGCTGCATTGAAAGCACAAAAACAGCCTCCTCCAGGAACTCTGTCCTTTCTGCCCCCACCTTCAGTAATCTTTTTTCAATCTCTTATAACACTTCACTTTCCAGAACTGTTTCATTTTTTCAGCCTCATTCTGGAAGGTGGTAGCCATAGTCTCAAAGCCTTGAATGTGTTTATAATGTTTTTACTGGTCATCATTTTTAAGCAAGTAAATGCGTACATGGAAATGACGGCCTCTGCTTTCTCAGACCGTTTTGCCCTCAGTGAGGCCACCAGCGGCACCTGAGCTGCCCTTCAGTGCGTCTGCGTACTTGGGAGCTTCTGACTGTCCACCTCCTGTGTTTAGAGTCTTTTAGAATGATAGCCCATGTGGAAATATTTTGCCACAAATTTGTTTCATGAATGTATAATTAATGCCAAATTCCATCTGACTATTCATTAGCCTTCTGAATCTGTTTCCTAAAAAGCAGGGAGAATGATACCTACTTTACAAAGCAGTTGTGAGCGTTAAATTAGATAATATCTGTGCAAGATCCTATTACAGAATTATCCCATTACTGGCTTATAAATGGTTCTTCTTAACTGTGGGTTGAAATCAAACATTTTACATCTCAATTATCTTTAGCAGTGTTTGAAATGAGTAATCTTATCATGAGATAAAGCAAAATAACATATTATCGAGCACAGTTGAAAATGAATTTACTCAGGTTTTCAAAAAATTCTCATTAAAATATTTTATAAGCCATCTTCATGCATCACTTGAGGTCCTCCTACCTTATTTTCAGGATCCCATCACTTGTGCATGTTTGTGTGCATGTGTGTATAATTAATTGATGTTTTGTAATTTGATGATTCTGTTGCACAGTTTTGATTTTTGGATCTGGACTTCCTCGCTGTAATGTTAGTCTCTGAAGCACAGTAGCTAAGACATCCAGTGCACGTGTGTCAACAGTTGTGGTCCTGGAAGAGAGTGAAGTTTCTGCTTTGCAGATGGAGAACCTGAAAGACAGTACGTTTCCATAGTTACTGTGTTTATGTCAGCCCCTTTGAACGCAGCGTCAGGCTCCATGGGGATAACATCCTTGAGCAAATGAGCTGCAGCTAATCCTAACCCAAATAAAGCTAGCAGCCATGTCTCGTTAGCACCCCCATCTCTCGTTAGCACCCCCTAGTTAGCACCGGGTCTTACTGGAGTCATCTGCCAAAGTGAAGGGGCGGGGCCAGAACTTTCCTGAAGCCCTGTTTACACTTACGCGTGATCTTTGTCAGCTCTCCGGGTTCTGTTTGACTTAAAAGCATCACACGCTCTTGTTTTGTTCCAACTGTGGATATCGCTTTGTTCACTGGTGGTGGCATTTTTACAAAAAGATGTAATATTTGGAGGGGAGATCTGTGTCTTTCAAAGGCTTCTGTTTGTCTGTTTGTCCTGAAAAGTCAGGCATCTAGTAGATGCTTCCTTTATGGCTTATGCTCCCCTTATGGTCAGGTGTTATAATAGTAAATGGAAACGTTTAAAGTAAATTTGCTGCATTTGACACATGGGCGTTTATTCAGTGCTACAGCGCAGTGTGGGATGAGGCCGCCCCCATTTTGTTCTCTGCCTGCCCCTCGGCAACATCCGGCGTTCTGCAGGGCCTCAGGGAAATGCCCAGTAATGCCAGTGGCTCCCACTTTAAATTCAGGACCACTGAGTCCAACGGGGCCTTAGTGGGGCCCAGCATTGCTGCTCCACGGCTTACCTCGGCTCTCCTAGACAAGGATCACACTTTCTCGTCTGCCAGCCGCCTCTCTCCTCTCTCTACTGATGAGGAAAAACACCCTGAAGGAGGTACCTGACCCCTCACCGTATCTACTGCCTCTCACCTATCTACCGTCGCGCACGCGCGCCCTCGGGCCGGGCTCTGGTTGGTAACGTGCCCTCTTATCTAAGGCCGATCACCTCCGCTCGTCTGGTTACGTCCCCCGCCGCCCACCTTGCGGTTCTCTTTGGTGGTTTTCCATTCTCTCTCCTGCGTCACGAATTATCCCCCTCCTCCTTTGACCAGGTCATTCCTCTCAGCATCTTCACGTGTGGAAATCGTTCCATCTTTAAAAGAAAAGAGAGATGAAGGAAAGAAGAAACTCCCTAGGGAGGCGCCATAGTTTCCTGCAGCCGCTGCCCCACTTCTCTGTTCCTCTTCCCAGTAAATATACTCAGAACAGCTGTCCGCTCCAACTTTCCTTTACTCTTATCTCAATCTCTCCAAGAAGGCTTTCGGCTTTTTATCAAAACTGGCTGCAGGGTCGGCATGATGTCTCCATAGTCAAATCCAGGGATGCAGTCTTGCAGAACTGGGTTCCCCTGCCAGCAGCACTTAACACACTCACTGTTTCTTGACTTGGCTTTCAAGACCCCGCTCTACCCACTTTTCTTACTTCAGTGGCAGCCTGCTCCTCATTCCCTGGATCTTAAACACTGCCAAACCCAAGGCTTGGCCCTTAGACGTCTTCCGCGTCTATGCTCACCTCCTAGGCGAATCCAGCGGTGCCAGGCTGTGTCCTAAAATGTCTTTCTTACTGCTGCCTCCTGATACTGTACCTCCACTGGGACTTCTGCCTTAACCCACACACTTCTTATGTCCAGTGGTGGTCTGGATATCTCCCCTGCGGTGTCAAAACGGCCAGAGCAGAATTCCTGATGTCCAGCACCCCGAGCTTGCTCCTCCTGCAGCTTTCCCGTCTCCAGCTGCCCGCGTCAAAAAGGGAAGGGTCGCTGTCAAATCCTTTCTCAGTATCGCCTGCTGCCCGTACCTTCCAAACAGATGCCGGGTGTTACCATTTCTCAGTCCCCACCGCCATCTCTTTAACGGATTGTCACCGCTACCTTCTCACTGGTTTCCTTGCTTCACCCAGAGCAGCCCCGGAGAACCTTTTCAAACGTGGAGCCAAGCTTCCCTGCGCTCAGAGCATTCCAGTGGCTTTCTGTTTCAGCGGGGTAACAGCGGACCTCTTCACTGTGGCCGCACGAAGACCCCTGGCCCCTGCCGCCGCCTCTTTGTCATCTTCGTCTCCCTCTCCCTGTCTCCCCCTCCCTCCTCTCTCCCTGCCCCCGCCTCCCGTCCCGCACTATTCCCTTTCCTCCTCCGCACCTCTTCCAGGCGTTCCCGGGGTCACTGTCTTCAGTTCAGACTCACTCTATCAGGGAGCCCTTCTCTGAACAGTCTGTCAAATACAGTAGTGTCCTGCATGCATTCCTTCTAAGATAATACTTATGTTAATACACTATTCACTGCCTCCTCCTTTTGAGGGCAGGGGCATTGTTCTGTCACCACTGTATCCTGAAGACCCAGAACAAGCCTGGCACCCCGTGGGAGCTGAAGAAATGAGTGAAAGGGTTGATGATTCATGGTATGGGTTTATGACTACAAAGGTCTTAAATTACTTAATAAAATTAAGAATTTAATGCAGCTTTTTAAATCACTACATAAAAAATATTATAGGTCTGTATCCATGTAAACTCTTACCCTTGATCCCTGTTTCAACCTCTATTTGATGATGAGGCTGTTACCAACATTTAAGTATAAATTACCTAGAGGACACTGTGCTGAGATTATCCTGCATAGCCCCCACAATTCAGCCTATGTTATTATCCCATTTTATGAAAAGGAAATGAGGTTTAAAGAGCCTGAAGCCAGCTGAAGACAGGAAGTGGCAGGACTGGTTTGCATCTGGAACTGGTGTGAACTGGTGTGCCCAGCTCCAGAACCAGACTTCAGCTGATGCAGCTGCTAAAATAAAAGCCTCTTGGAGATCCTGTTTAATTTTGGTCATTTCTAGGTTCATATGCTTTAATAGATTTTTTAGAAATGGTATTTCGTTTTGGGAACCAGGGATTCAATTTTGTAATTGTTCAGTTCAGTCGCTCAGTCGTGTCTGACTCCTTGCGAACCCATGAACTGCAGCACACCAGGCTTCCTTGTCCATTACCAACTCCCGGAGCTGTAATTGTTAAGCAGTGATAAATGGAGAAGGGAATGGCAGCCCACTCCAGTCTTCTTGCCTGGGAAATCCCATGGACGGAGGAGCCTGGAGGGCTCAGAGTTGGACATGACTTAGTGCCTGAACATTAACAACAAATCAACTGTAAATGAGATCCTTTTTACAAATTTTGAACTAAACTTGAGATCTCATGGCTCTTTGCCTAGTGACCTAGAATAGCTCTGTGACCTGGTTCATACCTGGTGAGCTGTTGCTAAGGTTGTAACGGCTCTGGTGTGTGAGTCCCTAGCTACGGATGACGCAGAGCTTGGAGTGCTCTGGCTGCTTCTCAAGAGGGAAATGAGACATGAATTCACAACTTAAGATTTTTACGCTTAGCTTTGCAGCAGACGATTACTCTTGAGAAAGACAGCCTCCCTCTCAGAACAGAAACTCTGCTGGTAGATGAGACAGGGAGGGAACCGCCGAGTACAGTGAGGAGGGTGTGGGTGAAAGAAACAGTGGCCAGAAGAGATGAGCCAAACTCTAGTCAGAGCTGGGGATTCAAACAGCCTCACACCCTCCTTCCTTCTTTCTCTCTGCCACATCCAGTTGCCCTCTGGTCCGCTCTCCAAGGCTCGAATCCCCTGCTGAAGACCTCAGAGGTTGGCAGCAGGCACTTGGCGTTTCTGGTAATGCAACCACCAGATCTCTTACAGGTTCCAGATGCCTGCGGAGTGAGCCATTGTTGGTCACACTTGCTCCCCATGGAAGGAAACATGATGCTGCCCTGGTTCTGTAGGAGGAACTCTTTTTATATATAGAATGAAGCAGTTAGTGAAGCCCTTGGGTAGCCAGTAACTAGTTATCTGAGACTAAATTCTGTAGATAATGTACTGGATATTGTAAGGACATACATGTGTTTTTTTGTTACTACCATGAATCTTAAAATGTGACTCCACGTTCAAAATAGTCTATTGACTAATCTACTCTGAAAAAAGAGCTTTCAGGTAACCTCTTCTCTGAGGTTCTGTTTATACTAGTGGGGAACAAATGTAAGAAATGTGAGTGAGAACTAATTAGAGGAACTATAAGAGCATTCCTTGATTCATTCATGACATGCATGGTAGCATGAAATATTTTTGTTGGTCTTACCTAACGTAAGTGAAACTACCAAGCTTTTGTATTTGCTAATACCACAACCTTGTCAATTTTATGCTTTATTTTGGGATGGCATGATTCATTCCTCTATTATCACTGAATTTAGAAAATGCAGATTGTGTATTTCAAGGTATTGTACAATGTGTGTATAATTTAGAATTTTCTCCCAAGTATCTTGACTTCACTATTTAAAAATCACTGAGATATAATTTTTCAAAGTTTAAAAAAAAAAAGTAAGACTGTCTTTAAACAAGACTGTTTATGAACAGAGAAATAAGATAGGAAGTGACAAGGGCAGACAATTAGCAGCGCCTCCTAAGGATTAGCCCATAAGGTGATATGAAGTATTCTCATTGTGTTCTTTTATTTTTGTGGGCTTTGTGTCATGACCTTTTCATTTTTTTTCTCCATTCCAACATCTGCTGGCTTTTAAATGGAATCATTGCTTTGGTATTTTCAGTATCTGAGGGTTGCTTTGCACATACCCTGCTATTGTTCCCAAGCAACTGCCTGGGTCAGATTTAAGACTGGGCGCTCATGCTGTGACCTTAATAACCAAAGCCTTTTTGGCCTTAAAATATGAATCGTAATTTATTTCTTTGTTCACCCCCCCCCCCCTTTTAAAACAGGCTGCAGATACTTTGGCTGTGAGGCAAAAAAGAAGAATTTATGATATCACCAATGTCTTGGAAGGAATTGACTTAATTGAAAAAAAGTCAAAAAATAGTATACAATGGAAGTAAGTTACAAACCGCTCTAGTCTACCTTTTTCTTCTCAATGCTCTGTACACGCTGACCTTTCTGCCATGTGTGTCTCCTGAGTCCTCTGTCCCAGCCGTCTACGCTGGTTACACGGCCCCTCGCGTGTCCCTGGGCACACCTCTGGGCTTCTGTGTCCCTCCTGTGGGACACGGGATGGCCCCTGGCTCACTCCGCCGTTTAATTTGCACACTCACAGTTCAACTCTTCTCCCTCCAGCTGCTTACTTGGCACACACTGCATCCTGCTTTCTATCATTAATCCTTCTTTGCCTGAGTGTTCTAGGTACTCACCTAATATAAACTCCTTGAAAACAGGAACTGAGTCTCATACATACAAGAATATGTACGTTATAAATAATGATTAGTGGAAATGCATGTTGTCATTTGTTAACTTGTATGTTTGTGACAAACACGTTCTTTTCCACAAACTTGCCCCCCTTATCCTTAGCTTTTCAGTTTATTTTAGCCAAAAATCCCGACAAAACACTAAAAGACTGTAATCTGTCTCACCCGCGTCAGTCCACGTAGACGACCAATGTGGCCGTTCAACTCTGGTATCCTTTGGTGCCTCAGCCACCAGTCGGCCTTCTAGATGACAGAGAACACTAGAACAGATGGAGAACTTTGTAATTCGGGTGTTTGTTTAGACAGTGGTGTGGTGTTTACGTTTTCTAAAGATTTTAATGGTTAAAGATTTTAGAAGCCTGTAAAGATTTTTGTCTTGACTATATTCAGTGAGTTTTACAATTTTTACTATAAAAATTAAGTGGGGATATTAATTTTCCTATGTTTTTAAGAGGTGTAGGTGCTGGCTGTAATACTAAAGAAGTCATAGACAGATTAAGATATCTCAAAGCCGAAATTGAAGATCTAGAACTGAAGGAAAGAGAACTTGATCAGCAGAAGTTGTGGCTACAGCAAAGCATCAAAAATGTGATGGACGACTCCATTAATGATAGATATCCTTTTAAATGAACTATACATAGATGTAATATGTATTTATCTATTCTTTCAGTCTGAACATCAGTTACTTTAGTGTTTTTAAGAGACTTCAGTTTTGCAAGTGATTATAACATTTTAATTTTATAACATTCTTCTAGTAATTTATATGAATATTTTAAATTTTTTACTTTTTTAAGTCATATAGTACATCTATTATCAAATAGATGCGTCTGTTGCAAATTCCCCTATATTTGGTCTGCCCATTGATAGGATATAATACAGTAGCTAAAGTGTGCTTAGAAGGAGTCTGCAAATTTGGAAGTCGTTGTTAAATCATTGTTCTGAACCTAAATCATTCAGTGTTTCAAAGTGGTAAAAGTTCAGCAACTCTTTTTAAAAAATTAATTTTGGTTTGAAAATGAAATATCACAGGCCTGCAATCAGTCCAGGATACATTCTGCCTAATATTAACCCAAAGAGAACTTTAGTAGAGGGTAGGGTTCTAAGGCTGGTATATCTACCATATTTGGGGAAAAACATTAGTGATATACTCCATGTGTTTCTTATGACCACTGTGTTCTTTCAGATATGTGACTGTTGATTTGTGACTTACCCGTACTCATGGAACATTTTAACTACATTTATCTTATACCACCTCTCATGAACTTTTGACTGTGTATATAATTTATTTTTCACGTTGTCTTGTCTTTGGTGAATGAGTCCATGATGTCATTTGTTATTTCCTTTCTAGAATCAGAACTCCTTAACAGTTTGATAATAATGGGGGTCTTCAGCTGTGCCTTGTGGAGCCCCGAGATTCCAAAAAGCATTGAACTAGTTGATCACACACTTTGCTGCACCACTTGCCAAGATCGCGGCACTCCCAGTTCCCCAGACCATGACCCAAGAAGTCTCGATGCAGCGACTTCAGTAGCTGGCTCTTCAGTCCCACCGACAGCATCCTCCCCCATCAGGGTCCTTCCCCCAGAAGCTCCCGTCTCCATGGGATGTGTTTCCTTCCCTCCCCCAGGAGTCCTCAGATGACACAAATCCAAAGTGGCTTCTTCTTAGAGCAAAGGATGGATACTTCTCTTATGGATCTTTATTTGATTGCCTTTTCAGACAAAAGACTTGTGTTCTTTTTGATCTGACCATGAGTGACAGTCCCTTCATGCATTTGGTCACTTTGGTCTTCAGAATAATTATCTTAATTTATATATCCAGGCCTTGATATAAATGTTATTCCTTAACTCTGTGACAGTACATTTTCCTATGTAACTCATGAAGACATCTGTAATTGTTTTAATGGTAAGTACTTTAAAGTATATTTTTTCTTGTTCTTCCTTTGATCAACGTATTTAGTGTAATGTGATTTAAAATTCCCCACACAGTCACGTCATTATTTTCTGGATTTGTGGACATTTTTTGGTCTCCCTCTATAGTGCTATGTGTTGATAGGCTGCTTTCATTTCTGTTCTCATGACAATAACTGCTTTTCCCAGCTTTCACTTCATTTCCTGCCTTGGTAGGTATAAACTGTGTGTGGGAGAGGCAGCTAAGTCAGAGAGGGATTAAATAACAGCCTCAGAGTCACAGAATCACAGTCAATGACTAAACTTGAACTAGAACATGGTTCTCATTGGTACTGTTTATGAAAGTGTATGTAGCAGATGTGCTGGTGAAAAATGCACCAATAAAGCTCAAAAAAATCATGAGGACACAGCCAGGTCTATCCATTTATAATCTGGAAAATTATTCCTCACCTTCCTCCCTCCCCAGCTTCCATGTTTTCCCCTTAAGATGATCTGCTCAGTTGCTCAGTCGTGTCTGACTCTCTGCAGCCCCGTGGGCTGTAGCCCGCCAGGCTCCTCTGTCCATGGAATTTTTCAGGCAAGAATACTGGAGTGGGTTGCCACTTCCTACTCCAGGGGATCTTCCTGACCCAGGCATCGAACCTTCATCTCTTGCATCTCCTGCACCGGCAGGCAGGATCTTGGCCACTATGAATAACTAAAATGATGGTGGGGGCTGAATTCCCATTATATATATAACACAAAATAGGCATAGGCTATTAAAAGGACAGTCTTGTAACATGCACATACAAAAAAAAAAAAATCTGCCAAACGCTTTGCCAAGTGGAACCTGACTCTAAGGCTGCGCTGGTTTTATACACGGCCTCATTGCTCTACTTTGTCACCGTATTTCCCAAGCTTTTCAAAGAAATTTGGGGGAATATTCTTAATGTTCAGCCTAGCAGATACTGCTGTAGAATCTGGCTTCAAAATTTCATGTAAGCTTAAGATTTCACTGTATCATACCAATTTAAGTAGTATAAATACTTAACAGTGTTATTTAATTAAGGTTAAAAGGAAGTTTTGAGAGTCTCAGACATGACATGAGCCTGGGTGAAAGCAAAATTAACTTGAGCAGAATTTGTTAATGAGAATAGAGTGAATATTTACCCTGTTGTAAGATCTACTAACACATACGTGTGTTTAGTTGCTCAGTTGTCTGACTCTCTCTGACCCCATGGTAGCCCACCAGGCTCCTCTGTGCGTGGAATTCTCCAGGCAAGAATACTGGACTGGGTTGCCATTCCCTTCTTTAAGGGGTCTTCTTGACCAAGGAGTGAAAACCAGGTTTCCTGCATTGCAGGCAGATTCTTGACCATCTAAGCCACCAGGAAAGCCCTTGAGGACTAAATGACGTTATATATATTTATCTATGTCTCTCTATATAAAACTGACTACATGTAAATCCATGGCTAATTCATTTCAACGTATAACAAAAACCACTGCAATGATGTAAAGTAATTAGCCTCCAACTAATAAAAATAAATGGAAAAAAAAAAACTGACAAGATATATTACCTCATTTAACCCTCAAAAAACCCTGTCTGGTAAGTTATGTCACCCCCATTTTACAGAATAAGAACCAGAACCCCAGGTCACCAAATCCAAGCATTCTGACTTCACAGCCCACTCTCTTGGCCATTGTATTGCAAGATCAATAGTTTTCTCTAAAATGTAAAAATCTATTTCTTAACTTTTTCATGACCAGGTGATACACTTTTGGCCATTCAAGCACCTTCTGGTACACAGCTGGAGGTACCTATTCCAGAAATGGTACGTATGTAGGATAGCTTTTGTTAAAAATGGATCTGCTGCTTCACGAGGGACAAACATTTTCTGGAGCTGAACATGAGCTAATTGTAAACACTTTCAAGTAACTGCTTTTAAGTTGTAAGTATTCATATCTGAAGTTAGATGTCTTCAGTACTTTTGCAAAATTATGGATGTGACTGATCATTTAACATTACTTTTTAAAAAATCTTATTTGAGCTAGAAGACATCAAGGAATGAGTGATGATACAGTCAATAACCTTAAAAAATCAGTTTGACCAATCTATAGCCAATATAACAATCCTGAAGAAAAAGTTCACTTTAAATATCAACAATAATATACTGCTTTAAATTAGGTCTTTTAAAAAACATTTTCTGGCTTATTGAGTCAGATGTCTATTGACTCTATGCTAATATAAATTTCATTGTTTTCATTTTCAAATTTCCTAAAACAGATTTGAAAACAATTTAAAAAGGTAGAAAAAACTTACTGTTATCTCCTATTACCTCCTTCGCTTCTCCCAGCTATTCTATAAGTTTGTATTTAGGCATTTATAGTTCCTGAAGCCTCAGGATACAAATTACCTTTTTGAAATGAGGGGATTTACATTTATATCTCTGTAGGAAAAATAAGTTGTCTTTGTGCTTTGCTGAATGGAAAAAAATTTTGCCTGGTGACACTTGCTATTTAAGACCACATGTTGAGATGACCACCACACGCATGGCGGTCAGCGCCAAAGGCGATGGCTACCACAGCTGAGGGCAATGCTCTGAGCACCGCTGAGGGCGGAGTGTGTAATTAGAGCCAACATAGACGGCTTCCGGCATTCTACAACTGAGAGTTTTTGATGACCATTATTTGAGAAAAGCTTACTTTTTAGGGTCAAGTGCTTTGTAGTCCTCAATATCCCATTCTTCTGGTCTCTACACTATTTTGACTTACTGACTTTTGTTGTATTTAGTTAGTCCCTATAGCTTTGCCTTTCTTTTTTTAAATGAAAATATAACACATTTATAGTAGACTTGGAAAATACAGAACAAGGTTACATAGAGTTCCATTATGCATGGATGTTCCATTAGTTATTTAAGTAGATAAAGATTTTAAGTTGGAGTTTCAACATGAAACTATCTAGAATGAATACACAGAAAAATAGAAGGATACAGTAGTTGCCTGTCTTATTTTTAATGTTTCATGTTGGTTAGAAATGTTGACCTTTGTTCATTTGTTTATGCCCAATAACTTCAAAGGGTCAGAATGGACAAAAGAAATACCAGATCAATCTGAAGAGCCATTCAGGACCTATCCACGTGCTGCTCATCAATAAAGAGGCCAGCTCAGCGAAGCCCGTGGCTTTCCCCGTGCCCCCCCCAGACGACCTCACGCAGCCTCCCTCTCAGCCCCCCGCCCCAGTGCCTCCGCACAAGCCCAGCACGGCCGTTCAGAGCCCGCCTGAGCCACCCGTCTCTGAACGAAGCCCGACTCTTCAGCACACGCCAGCCACAGACTTGTCTTCAGGTGAGTTCAGAGCCATTGTTTTCAAAAGCAGAGGGGAAAATACGAAGACTGCATTGGACAAGGTAGAGAGCATTTCTGAATCTCTCAGTTGTGATGTTACTCGCTTATCTAGTATAGGAGGCAAAATAGTAAACCTATACAAGCATTAATTTTGTGTCTCCTACGTGCCCAGCACTGGAATATGTATTAGAAGGAAAATTTAAAAACAGATCCTGTCTTTAATTACATTGTGTTGTTTAGTCACTCAGTCGTGTCGGACTCTGCGACCCCGGGACTGGAGCCTCCAGGCTCCTCTGTCCATGGGATTTTCCAGGCAGTACCGGAGTGGGTTGCCAATTCCCTCTCCATTTAATCCTATTACTACTACTACTAGTTTCATAGACTGTGTAAATATGTATGTATATACAGTTTTCCTTAGGATTCCATTTTGGAATTAGACCATTATTTGTTCTTTTTGCTGTTAAAATATATAAAAAGAAATGTAAAAAAACTTTTATCACATTTCTGTTTCCAGCGGGATCTATTAGTGGAGATATCATTGATGAGTTAATGTCTTCTGATGGTAAGCAGTTAAAAAATTTAGTAACTAACCTTATATATTAATAATGCTTTTCTAGAATTTGAGTGTCATTATGATTTAAAAGACATGAGAACCTGTATTTTTTTTTTACTGCTTAATGTACTATGATGCTTCATGAAATTTATAGTTAAGTTATAGGCATCATGAAGAATTTCTTTGCCTGCATTTTTATGAAAAATAATTCATAAGGGGATACTTAATCACATTTACAGAATAAACTTCTACACTGTTGGCATACTAGCCCTTTTCACACCTGAACTATCTGGCCAAGAAGAGTAGAACAATATATCTGAGTCAACAAGAAATGTGAAAACTTAGTTTTGTAAATATGCCCATCATGGCCAATTTCAGTGATAGCTACATAATCGTCTAACCTGAAATAATTCCTAAAAATCAACTGATTATAAAACTGTAGTTACTTTAACAGTTACTGTCCGGGCCTTCCCTTCCTGTAAGTTCTTGAATTCCTAACACACACGGTAGCTGTTAAATTAGCGAGCATTCTAGTAACCACTGAAGAGATTTAGCAAATGTTTCTGTAAAAGCAGAGAATTTCAGCATTTTTATTAACTTATGTCTGATTCCTGTCTGTTTTCAAAATGGTAGCTTAGTTAGCAGATCAGAGAAAATACTGACTAGTGTTTCTGAATCATTTTAGTGATGAATTCAACCAATAAAAATTTTAACTTCTATTTCCCAAGCTAAACCTATAATCAATGCATAAAATGTCTTTAAATAAGAATCTTTGAAGATACACACAAAATACAAATCATTAATTTGATCATTACATTTCCTATTGTATTTTTTTTTAATTTCCTATGTAACACGGGAAGCATGATTTGGCTTGATGTTTTTGATAGTATTTTATCTTAGACATCGTTACCTGTATGCAGAAACCATCTTTAACACTGCATTTGTGTTTTCACTTGCAGTGTTTCCGCTCTTACGGCTTTCTCCGACCCCAGCAGATGACTACAACTTTAATTTAGATGATAATGAAGGCGTCTGTGATCTGTTTGATGTCCAGATACTAAATTATTAGATTCCATGGAAACTTGGGACTGTTATCTACCTCTAACTGTGTAACATTTTAGACTTCTTAATAACCTAAGTATTTAAAATAATGAATGTAACACCTTTTTAGTTCACTGATTCTGAAATGTTCTTCCCTAATANCTAGCTCTGCCTCTTGGTTGTTCTGTGATCTTGAGTACCTTTTTTTTTTTTAGCTTCCCCTTGCCTTGGTTTCTGCATCTGTTAATGGGAACAATAGGGGTTTTCCCTGGCAGTCCAGTAGTAGAGACTCTGCACTTCCATTGCAGGGTACATGGGTTTGATCCCTGGTCAGGGAGCTAAGATCCTATATGCTGCATGTTGTGGCAAAAAAAACCAACAGTGGAAATAATAATAGTATTGTGCCTACCTTCTAAGGTTGTTGTGACGATCAAATTAGATGGTAAATACAAAGTGTTTGAAAGAGTCCCTGGCACATAGTGAAGGCCCTGTAAACATTAGCTATTGTGGTTTTTATTTAAAAAAAAATTTTCTTTAGCTATTGTGATTTTTTTTTTTGTATAAAAGATTAAATTTATTGGTATTTTTGGGGAATTTGATGCATCATTGGTTTATTACAACTGAGCCATTAATCTTGTAGCCTCATCAACATTAACTGGTATGTTTTCATGACACTGCTGAGACACCTAGAGAGAAGAAATTACATTTAAAAATTTACATAACTGCAAACAAAAATGACAGTCTACTGACATATAATCTTTTAGCCAATATAATTTCTTCCAGTCATACTTTTGGAAGTAGAACAGTAAATTCCCATATTTAGACTCAGTGTTTTAAAGTCTGGATGTGCTACACATACTACAGAGCCAAGTACTAAAAATCACAATCAATATGGGCTTTGAAAATTTGGAATTAGCCAGAACAAAAGCAAGTGCTTTCTACTCACCAGCTGTTTCTGCAGAGGTTCAAGGGAAAGGCCTTTTGAGAAGTTTGCCAGTTCCTTCTGTATATCTATAAAAGCTTTATTCACTCTGTTAACTTTTTCATCATTCACAATGTTTATCTTCTTAAGATTAGTAGTAACTGGTTTTGCTTTATTTTTTAACCTTCAAGCTTCTCTGGCTGGCTATGTGGAATACATTCCTGGACTTCTGCCCTCTGAGTTTATTCTTGGCCATTGTCAGGCCTCCGACACCCTCGTGTAGCCTCTCAGCTTCCAGGCAACGCCATATACACACGTGACACCCGGAAGTTCCGGGATGAGAGGGCCTATCATAGGGCCTCCCTCGGGCCGCGGTTCCACCGCTATTGTGATTTTTAAGTGCTCTCTTTCCTTCATACTTAGATCTGCTCCAAATCTGATGGCTGTTGCTGGCCAAAATCTTGGCTTTCTCTGCCCACCAAATCCAAATTAAAAAATGTGGAGACAGAGTTTGGAGGAAATAGAAGGGTGGCTTTAATTCTCAGCAGGCAGAGAGGGAAACACAGTAGTTTATTACAACTGAGCCATTAATCTTGTAGCCTCATCAACATTAACTGGTATGTTTTCATGACACTGCTGAGACACCTAGAGAGAAGAAATTACATTTAAAAATTTACATAACTGCAAACAAAAATGACAGTCTACTGACATATAATCTTTTAGCCAATATAATTTCTTCCAGTCATACTTTTGGAAGTAGAACAGTAAATTCCCATATTTAGACTCAGTGTTTTAAAGTCTGAATGTGCTACACATACTACAGAGCCAAGTACTAAAAATCACAATCAATATGGGCTTTGAAAATTTGGAATTAGCCAGAACAAAAGCAAGTGCTTTCTACTCACCAGCTGTTTCTGCAGAGGTTCAAGGGAAAGGCCTTTTGAGAAGTTTGCCAGTTCCTTCTGTATATCTATAAAAGCTTTATTCACTCTGTTAACTTTTTCATCATTCACAATGTTTATCTTTTAAAACAAGAAAAAAGAGCAGTAATTCATGATCTTAAAACCATTACAGATAAAATATAGGCAACCTTAATCTTATTAAACCCCCAAATCTATAAACTCTTATCCATCCTACCAATTTGTGCAGATAATTCACACTAAAATTCTTATAGTCTTATTGAGACACTTTCGACAAAAGGTTCTGCTTTTTAAAAAAGAATTATGTAGCTATACCTTCTACCTTGACTTTCCTGGTATAAGCAGGCCAAAACATGTGCCTACAATGTTTGCAGGCCATGACACTACCGTCTCTTATCTGTGAAATGAGGACCCTGGATAGAACCCTGCCAGGGTCCCAGCAGGGCCCCTCCAGATCCTCCCTGACAGGAGCTCCTGGCGGTCTCCTGAGAGCGCGACCGGTACAGCCCTCCGTGCTTGAGAACGAGGTGGGGCGGTGTTCTGGTCTTCACTGCTCCCGAGCATTCCTCCTTCAAACTCTCAGCTCCTCTGCACCTTACTCGCCAGGACATCCTGACCCCTTCTCCTCACTGCTGCCCCCTGCCAACACCAGGATTACTGACTCCTTTGTGAACAACCTCAAACCTTGGCTCACTGACCTGCCTCGTGCCTGGCAGCACTGCTTAGTGGCTTCGGCAAGAACCTATCCAGGGCCGCTTCATCTTTTCAGGTCCTCGTCTCCAGGGATCTTATCCATGACTTAGCTTGCCACCACTGCACTGCATTACCTTAGGCTGCACCACCTCCTGTCCCTCTAGTTCACTTAGTTTATTAGTAATTCTTAAATCTCGCTGAAACCTTTTCTAAGTTGCCTACTCTTCACATTTTCCATCTCCACTTCTTGCGTTAGCCTACTCAGATCCCATGACCACTCGTCAGTCACTCCTTACACCCTCTTAACTCTCCTCCTCTCCCTTGATCAGACTTGCGTGGCAACTTGGTTAAACTCAACTATCAGCCTTTTCTGAGCCTGAAATGGAAGCTGTAGGAAATCACAACTGGCTGCCTGGCTTCATGTCCGTTCATAATTACCAACTTCAAACTTACCTTTTATGTGCTGCCTGGCAATCTTACCTTAGTAAGTTAAGCTACTTTCTGAGAAAATTGATACTTTCTCCAACCAGGCTACCTACCCACAGGTCTTTTCCAGTAGCATCCACAAAGTTTCTAGGACTTCCTGTCTAAACAGAGTAATCTTTCTCAAATACACCAAACTCTTCCCCAGCAGGAGGCCTCTGTACCCGCTATTCTTCCTGCCCAGAGCATGCCGCTGCACCAACACTGCACCGCTCTTCGCGTCAGGAGCTCCTGTCACTCAGGTCTTGGCTTCAGCATCAACCCTGAAGACAATCCTATCTACACTTGTCACCCCCGAACTCCAGTCGTATCATTCAGCTTTATTTCCCTTTTAGCATTTCCAAAGACATGAAACTGCTCCACCAAAAAGTTTAATTCAGCTAGTTCATGAAGATGGAAAGATAAAATGTTACATTTCTATGGACCATTATGATAATTAGTAAGTCCTTGAGAGCTGACTCCATCTAGTACTTAAGCTTGAAAACATTTCCTTGAATCATCTTCTTAAGGCGTCTACTTAATCTTGAAGAAATTTCTCATTCCCCAAATATTTTGAAAAAATAAAGCAACTCTTTTCATTTTGTATTTTAAACAAAATATTTTATCTCCTATTTTCAGGTTTTTATTTGAGTTCTAGGTATCTCCACAGAGAAATAAGAATTACTGAGGATAAAAAGAATGGGTGCTGACTGACATTCCATGTCCTGGCTCTGTTGAGAGCTTCTTGAATATATATGAATTTAGAGAGAATTTTTCCATAATGTGTTTGTTTTTTTGTTTTTTCTGATTTCCAGTCTCTGAGAATTAACTGTTACTTGGAGCCTCATACATTTGCAGTTAAAATGTTTTCCTTTCACACATCTGGATTCAAGAAAGGGAGGCTATTTTTCTTCATCATTTTTCTTTTTTAAAACAAATACTTAAAATCATCTTGCTTTTGTAGGCAGCAAAGGCAGAGTGCTTCAGTGACACTCACCTTCTTAAGATTAGTAGTAACTGGTTTTGCTTTATTTTTAACCTTCAAGCTTCTCTGGCTGGCTATGTGGAATACATTCCTGGACTTCTGCCCTCTGAGTTTATTCTTGGCCATTGTCTAGGAAAAAAAAGAAAGAGCTCAATTAAGTTGCCCACATTTATGAACTGTAAATCAATTAAAATTTAGGAAATAAAGGTACCAATTAAGATGATCCACCTTACTCCTTACTATTTTTAAAACTGCTACTTGTATTAAATTCCATGTCTTTTGGTCCTACAGATTCTCCTGTTTGAGTGCAAAGAGTATCTAATTCTTTTCTGCATCTCCAGCACCTGGACCGTAAGAGGTTCTACATTAATTTCTGCCAGTTAGAGTCATTAACTAATATTACCAACACAACAACTGGTTTTTTTTTTTTTTTCCAACTTTCTGACAATGCTAACTGTCACCACCCATCCTTCCGCTAGTTTACATGGTGGTATTCCACTGGGGTTCCTTTCTTACTCTAAGACTGACTCCTTTCTTCTGTCTTTCATTCCTTTTTACTTGCCCCATTTTCACTCCTGTGTGCACCTCCTCAAAGTTGGTCGCTCAGTCATGTCTTTGCAACCCCATGGACTACAGCCCTGCAGACTCCTCTGTCCATGGGATTCTCCAGGCAAGAATACTGGAGTGGGTTGCCATTTCCTCCTGAAGGGGATCTTCCCAACCCAGAAATTGAACTCTGGTCTCCTGCATTGCAGGAAGATTATTTACCTCTGAGTTACCAGGGAAGCCCAGCTCCTCAAAATCAGTACTTAATCTTGCATGTCCAAACCCCAGCCTTATTTTCATGACTTCCATATCACTTCTGTGTGAATGGCTCTTGCCTAAAAATTTTAACATATTATTTTTGTTCCACAGCTAAACACACTAAGCCTATAAATTCTATTTTAGAAACATCTCTCAAACCTGTCTTTAACAATGCATGTGAGGAACAATTTCAAAATTAATTGTTAAGATTTATTAAGCTTTGACTACATGTACGAGCACTATGCTAACATTCTATGTGCTTTTTAACTAACTTCTTACAAAAACACTTTGGGAGGTACTATTTCATTCTCATTTTGTGGATAAAAAAACTGATGCAAAGAGAAGTTAATCTGCCCATTGTCACACTGTTAGTAGTCAGGGTATGCCACAGTTCAAAGCCAGGAAGGCTAGATCCTGAGCTCTCATTATGTGACATGGCCTCACAAATACATAAAGAGCAACACAAAACCGCGATTTAGTACTGCCTTAGTTCAGGACTGGGTTATTGCTTTAGTTCCTAGGACTATTTGGTTAGACTCTGGGTTGGACAAACTTTACCCACAGACCAAATCAGGTCAGGCACCTGTCTTTGTAAATGACTGTTAGAATGCAGCTCTATCTATTTAATTATGTATGTATTGTCTGTGGCTGCTTTTCTGCCACAACTGTGGCTTGCAAAGCCAAAAATCCTTATTATTTGGCCCTTTAAAGAAAGACTGTGAAGGCCTGGCTTAAGCCATATGCATTCAAGTCTATCCTGCACAGTGGTACAAAATGAACCGTCCCAATGTTAAAATTCTTCAATGGCTCCTCCAACCCACAAGAAGCAATATTCTTTGTCATGACATGTTGCAGAAAAGCTGATTCTAGCATAAATGTGTCAAAGGTATCTTCTGCTATATCTCTGTAGCCAGCTTAGAATACTAATTAATCTGTGAAGACACTTTGCACATTCTTCCTTTCTTCCCTTTGCTCACACTGTATCTCTCCTCCTTAAATGTCCAACTTAAGGAAACAACAGAGACGGCAAAACTTCCCGAACCCGAATAATACGCCTTCTAATTAAAAAAAAAAAAGGAACACAGTAGAAAATACCTGAGTATTATACAAGCAGAAAATACACATAAAAAGCCACCCCAAATTAATCTAAAATCCTTCCAATAAGTAACCAGAATCCGATCATTCATCAACGAATTACTACGTGTCAAGTGCGGTAGAGAATTCATATGCATCATATGAAACATATACAAACACAAAACGCATAGACAGGGGCTGAGTCTGGTAACATAAAGCGTTGTGAGCAGACGGAAAGATCCAACGGGTCTGGGGACTCGGGCAAGGTTCTTGCAGAAGGTGACAGCTCAGCGGGGGGCAGGGTGGGTACAGGGGTTGTCCGTGACGACCCCGTGGAGGCGAATGACAAAACAACGACTGTACTCTGGTCCCTCGCCCCGGACTGAGGGCCCAGCACCGGGCCTTCCGGCCTGAGCCCGCGGGCCGGCGGCCGAGGACAACCGCCCAAGGCAGCGGGCAGCCGAGTCGACCTCTGGACGGCAGCGGCCCACCAGGCCCGCCCCAGCCCCGCGAAGCTTCGCGCCAGCGCCAGGGAAGTGTCCTTCACTAACCTCTCACCAGGCCTCCGAAACCTTCGTGTAGCCTCTCAGGTTCCAGGCAACGCCATATACACACGTGACATCCGGAAGTTCCGGGATGAGAGGGCCTATCATAGGGCCTCCCTCGGGCCGCGGTTCCGCCCCCGGGCGAAGCCCCGCCCACAGAGCATGGTCCCGTCCCAGAGCTCGGTGGGTAGACAGAGGTAAGCCCCGCCCACAGAGCGCGGTCCAGTCCAGGGTCTCGGTCTTTAAAGGGAGATATGCCCCGCCCACTGGTCGTGGTTCCACCCACGGGCAGGTTCCCACCCACACGACGTAGGACCGCCCTCAGGGCCGAGGCCCCGCGGAGCTTCCGCCCCTGAGCGCCGCGCAGCCCCGCCCACAGGACGAAGTCCCGCCCTCAGAGCGAAGTGCCGTCCCAGAGCTCTGTGGGTAGACAGAGTAAGCCCCGCCCAGAGAGCGTGGTCCCGTCCCAGAGCTCGGTGGGTAAACAAGCTAAGCCCCGCCCACAGAGAGTAGTCCCGTCCCAGAACTCAATCTGTAGCCGTATATAAGCCCCGCCCACAGGGCGTGGTTCCGCCCCACGCTGGTTCCCACCCACCGAACGTAGGACCGCCCACAGGGCCGAGGTGCGCGGAGCTTCCGCCCCTGAAGGCCGCGCAGCCCCGCCCACAGGGCGAAATCCCGCCCGCCGTGTGAAGTCCCGCCGGTTGGCGTCTCTGGCCGAATGCGGCCTTGAGCTCTACTCGGCGGAGACGCGGAAGACGCGGCGCGCCTCGAGCTCCTCGCGCGGACTCGCGTACAGAAACCAGCCGGCGCCTCTTGTTCACCAGAGCCGTGAGGGCGGTCTCACAGAAGTCGGCCTTCGGCCGCGTCCTGCAAGCTGGCGGGGCCGCGCTCCCGGGACGCGAGACGCGCGCCGCTGGGGGGCCCCAGGCTCGCTGGGCGGCACCGAGCGCCTAGGGTCTGAGCGGATCAGGGGCTAGCGCTGGAACTTCTAGGCGAAGACTGTAGTGAGCCGGAGCTGCAGTGCTTTCCTCAGGCAGATGAGAACTTCTGACGTAACAGCAAACGCGCAAGAAAGTGCAGACAAGCCGTGCGGCAAGAATGAAGTGAGAGCCGCCCAGTCGTATCCATGGGAGTCTCCAGACCGGAACACTAGAGTGGGTATTTCCCTCTCCAGAGTACTGAAAGCTACCTGCCCTTCAAGGAAAAACGCATTTTTTGTGAGGAGCCAATTATCATGAAAAGTTTCATGATTGATTATAGGAATGCAGAGTCTTTTATTCCTTTAACCCCTCAGTGAGAGAAGAATTTATTTTCAGACTAAGAATAAGCATTTATAACATATTCTATATAATAAAGTAGAGCAGAGCAGACAGGACCTTCCATCTTTTTGTCTAGGTCAGATTCCTGGAAATATCTGTATTAGCACTCTGCAGTGAAGGAAAAGCGACACTTCCTTAGGGTATTCTGAAGCTGTAGGAGGTGAATCACAGGCTTTGTATTTTTATTATTTATTTTCTATAATTTAAATCAAATATCATATTACTGGTATGTACGTTTGTCTCTCAACTAGTACATGCCCTCTTCAAGGGCCAGGTTCACTACTCATTCACCTTTATATTGCCATCCAGGATTCCGTATTTCCAGTGCATGGAAGGTGTGGCATAAGCATTTGCTGAATGAAATAAAATTTCCTTCAGTATAAGAAGCAGAGAAGAGATTGTAGCCAATACACTAAAAATGACTTTAGAGTTCTGTCTTTAGCACGACTGAAAAATACCTAGAACACTTCTTTTTAGCTTTTTGTAGTACTGTTCCTTGGGAGTGATAGGTGTTTGACAAATATGTTTTTAATTTAATTAAGCAGATTTTATTCAGAGTAATCTCCTGGCCAAATGCCTAGAAATCCTGAACCTGAACTAATTACAGTTACAAAGGATGGCTTGCGTATGAAATATCTGAAGGTGAGGAACAGTGAAATCCCTATCACAAAGGCAATAAAGATTTTCAAAGAGTACATGAAGTCCTTTCACATTTTTTGTGATGCTAGGTTAAAATGCAAGCAATGGTTAAAAGTTATAGGAATTGGGGAATATTTAGCAAATGCATTTTTAAAACAAAATTGGTAGCTGCAAAGGAGGCAGTGAGCTATTAAATTATCATTTGGCACTCCAAATTTCAACAGTGTTTAAAGCAAAATTAAAGGCTGCTGTGATTTGTAATTACCATGTTTAGTTGATAATGTAAACACTCAAGTTGTCTAAAGTTCAGCAATGATTTTGAGATTTTTTTCCGTTGATATTGTTCTGTTCAGAGTCTATATGAGGCAGGAGGCAGAAGGGCCCCCCAGGGTAAAGCAATCAGAGATTCATTCTCTACTGACCAAAACTCCAAGACAAGAATAGCAGGGCAATCAAAGGGAGGAGATTGGACCCTGCACAGACCACATATTTCTCGTCCCAAAGTCAGGAGACCCTCCCTGGCCGCACATGCACAGAAAAGGCTCTGTTGCTGTTCTACCCAGATGCCTTTTTGGTACAATTCATCTTGGCTAAGATGCGTGCACACACGTGGGAAGATCCTGAGATATACTGAATATGGACTGTGAACCCAGGCAGATCAAGATGAGCGGCCAGAGGAACTCTGGGAGAAATGCCCCGCAGAAGTGATGTAAACTGCCACAAGGGCGTGACTCAGGGGCTCTCCCTCCAAGTCTGCCCATGTGTCTATCCATATGTACTGTACTTGTTCCTCCTAAGAAATACTTTACTTGCTTCACCACTTTCTGTCTTTGTGGATGTTCTTTTCTGCAATGCCAAAGGGACGGGGCCCTTGTCACTAACTGCTGGTCTAGTCGCTGGGATCTGGTGCTTACGCTGCCGTGACCCAGCCTCCATCTCTGGTTGGGAACCCCAGCCCTGCCCCAAGGCATTCAGGCCCAGGCCACCCAAGATCATATCTAGATTAAAGTCGACAGTTTCCGACTCTCTTTGTGTATTGTTTGTTCAGAACTCTCTTGTTCTGAAATCCTACTAAGAATTATGTAATCATCTATATTTTGTTAAATAAGACAAATTGCTGAGGGCTATAAGGATTTCATGATCTTTTTCCTTTAGATTACAAAAGTCATGAAGAGTACTTGAGGAAATTCAGAAAATTCAGAAAAGTATAAAGAAGGAGGTGAACAGCCAGCAGTTACTGCATTCTGCCTTAACTCACCACAGTCTTTCTCTCCTTTGGATTACTGTAATAGCTTCCTAACTGGTTCCCCTGCTTTAATCTCTACCTACCCCAGAAGGAATCCTGCTAAGATGTTAATCAGATCATGTCATTCCTTAGCTCAGAAGTTCCAGTACTTCCCCCATCACTCGGGATAAAGGCCAAAGTACTTACAATGGCCTGTGAAGCCCTGTTTGACAACCTTCCACCCCGCACCCTCACCCACCCCATCCCACCCCATCCCTGACTGTTTTCTTACTTCTCTGCCCACTAGATATCTGCAAAGCTCCTCCCTCTCCTCTTCCAGTGTGTTCTCGCTCAGTCATGTCTAACCCTTTGTAACCCCATGGACTGTAGCCCACCAAGCTCATCTGTCCATGGGATTTTCCAGGCAATGCTGGAGTGGCTTCCTATTTCCTTCTCCAAGGGATCTTCCCGAGCCAGAGATCCAAGCCCCTCCCCCACCCCCGCCCACAACTCCTACCCAACTCCTGCGTCTCCTGGATTGGCAGGCAGATTCTTCACCTCTGTGCCACCTGGGACCCTCTTTCCGGTCTTCTCTCATATGCCCTGGTTTCCAATGAGGGCTTCACAACTACCTCTGTAAAATACCAAGTCCTCCCACATCCCTGCCCTCCTTTTCCACCGTTATCATCATGTAGCATCCCATGTATTTATTTACTTTGCCTATTTATTACCTGTCTCCTCCTGCTAGAATGTGAGCTCCATAAAGGCAGAGCATTTTATCTGGTTTTGTGTGCTACTGTGTTAGTTCTCTAATGCATAATAAATCACTCCAAAACTGAGTTTCTCCAAATAAGAGTCTTCATTTATTTTCTCATGATTTCAGTGGGCATAGAATTTGTGAGAGGCTTGACTTGATGGTTCTTGCTCAGGGTCTTTCACGAGATTCAGTTGGATGTTGACCGAGGCTGCAGGCATCCGAGGGCTTGGCTGAGACTGGAGGGTTTCCTTGCAAAGCAACTCACATGGCTGCAAGCTGGTGCTGGCTGTTGCCAGTTTTCCCCAAATCCTCTCCTGAACTTTCCTGCTGGGCTACTTGAGGGTCCTCTGCTGTGGAAGCAGGAGAGTCCCAGACTGAATGATCCAAGAAATCAAGGGAGAAACTGCAATACCTCTTATGCCCTAGACTCAGAAGTTGTACACCTTTGCTTCCACTGAATTTTTACAATTACACATGCTGGCCCTATTCAGTGGAGGAGACTACAAAAGGAGCTGAACACTAGGTGAGGATTGTTGAAGACTATCTTGGAAGCTGGTCAGTGCAGCAGCTGTATCCCCTGTGCCTATAACAGTGCCTGGCATGTAAAGGGAGCCCAACAGATGTTCTCGAACAATAAATAAATTCCACCACTTAACTTTCTAAAGATATATTTCTTTGCAGCCTTTTTTTCCTAAACAGATAAACTATGTTATTTCTTAAAAATTGGAATTTTTCTTTAGATAATTTATAATTTATAAATGTAAACATACATACTAAGCATATTTTAAAATATACTTAGTATCTTTCTAAAGTTACATCTTGTTGATGTTTGATATTATTTAAATATTCTTATCATTAGCATTTCCATTGTTTCTAGATTTCTTCTGTTATGAATACGTTGTGATGAATACCCTTCTACATAAACCTTTGAGCAATCTCCTAACATTTTCTTGGAGAGCATGACGAGGAATAAGATCTGAGATTATAAATACTTAAAATACTTGATTTAAGTTATCAAATTGTTTCCAGAAATAGAAACATGTATTTTATGTTTCTACAGTGTATGAACATGTGTGTTTCACAGCATCATTATGAATATGGAATGTTGATGCCTTTTAAGAAACTGAAGTTTTGGTTAGGAAGAAAGAGCATAAAGACCTTTATAGAATTATACGTCTTTTGAACTTTGTTATATGTTTAAAGGGCAGTTTTCAAAAAAATAAATAAAGGGCAGTTTTCTTTCTTTTCTGTTTTTGTCATATCCACAGGTTGTTTAGGAGTCAAAATTGACAAAATTTATAGGTGAGGGGAGAAAGAGACAAGCTGGAAATGTGAGTAGTAATTTTCTGACTTGCGCAGCTGAGTGTGCGGTAGCGCCATTTAATGAGAGAGCAAGGTCTGTGAGAAGGAGAATGGGGCAGAGGAGGGGGTAAGTCATCCTTTCTGGACACCTGAACTTGCAGCAGTTAGAGTACAGTCCGGGGGACCTAGAACTGTGCTGCCCAGGATAGTAGCTGCCCAATATATAAGTGACCCCATACGGCCAGCGGTCACTTACAATGAGGCAGGGTGGACAGAGACAGTCCGTCAGAGTGAAATACAAAACAGATTTGGAAGACTTCTAAGAAAAAAGAATGTCAAAGCAATGTTATTTCACTTAAGATCCAACCAGGGGACAAATCACACAATCGCTTGAACAGGAAACGTTCACTGTGAAGAATTATTAACTCTAAAATGGAGTTAAAGATGTCAGAGAACACTCAGGAACACCCTCCGGCTAAGGGAGAGTTTCCAAGGAAGGACAAGCTTGGTGGTTGGCCTCCTTTCTGAAGTCAGGACTCGGATCAATGGAGAAGCGTGGTTGCAACCCATTGAACTGAAGGGAAGTTTCAAGGGTGGCCCGGAACCAAGCTGGTCCACGGTTGCCAGGCAAGCAGAAACACCCCTCCAGGGTACAGAGGACTACGTCTGGCGTGCAGGTGGCAAAAGGGACTCAAGAGTCGGGAAATCAGCTCTGGCAGGGCGACACACAGCCTGGAGTGTGTGGAATAGGTCTTGGTGAGAGCGCCATGGCAGACACTGTCCATGGTGCAGACCGCCCAAGGCTGGCGAGCAGCTGGGCACAGCGAGTGGGGGCGTCTCTGTGCCAACAGGGTGGCCTGGCAGCTGGGCCACGTGGGGTCCGTCCTAGGAGGGGCAGAGAGACAATCGCTGGGCTGGGGCTGAGGCTGTGGGCTTGCACGCTCTTAGTGTGAGGCTGGGGCAAGGTGCCCCTGCAGGCACACTCACATGTGTCCCTGCCAGGCACCCAAGAGGAGCAAGAAGAAAACAGAAAAAAAGCAGCATGCCAGAACCAGGAAGCCAGTCTCCCCCTTTACAGTGTCCCTCCATGGAGAAAACATCCTTGTGCTTGCTGCAAAGAGATTTTTAAAGCTCTGTTTTCACAGAGCAGGTAGTTCAATGCTGAATTTCATAATGATATTTAATCTAATATTAATCTAATAATAAATTGATAATTGGCACACATTAATTTTGTATTAATTCATGTTAAAACAATAAGGTTCTAGATATATCAGGTTAAATAAGACACATCACTTAAACAAATGTCACTTTTATTTTCACTTTTCTAAAAAAATGCAAACAGTTGAGAAAGTAAAATGTGGATCATGCTGGAAGAGCATTATCCATCATTAGTGTATATCTAGCAAAAGTGGATATCTGATCTCTGGAGATGATATCCTCAAAACTGATAGAGGGACCTGGGAAGAGACTGCAGAGAGAGGAGAGATCCCGGGGGAAGGCCCAAACCCCCCAGATTTAAAGGTTTGTGTGATGGTTAGTTTCTTCTGTCAACCTGACTGGCTTGCAGGGTGCCAGGATGTTTGGTCAAACACTGTCCTGGATGTTTCTGTGAGGATGTTTTTTAATGAAATTGGCACTGAAATCAGTAGATTGCGTGAAGCAAATTGTCCTGCTTAATGCGTGTGGCTCTCATCCTTCAATTGAAAGCCTGAATAAAACAAAAAGACTGAGCCTTTCGCAAGGAAGACAGACTTCCTCCTGCCTGACCGCCTACGAACCGCGGCATAAGCTTTTCACCTCCCTCAGACAGGCAGCGAAACCCTGGTCTTCCAGGTCACATGACCGCCAGCCTCAGACTGCGTCTGTACCGTTGACTCTTCAGGGTCCTCAGCTTGCTGGCTCATCCTGCAGATCTGGGGATTTTTTAGCTCCAGTGTTCTTGCCTGGAGAATCCCAGGGACGGCGGAGCCTGGTGGGCTGCCATCTATGGGGTAGCAAAGAGTCAGACACGACTGAAGCGACTTAGCAGCAGCAGCAATAGCAGCTTCCATAATTGTGTGAACCAATTCCTTATCATAAATGTCTTTACGACACAGACATACCTGCACTGTGTGGTCCTGTATCTCTGGATAAAACTTACTAGTATAGTTGAATATAGAGAGAAAAGGGCTTCCCAGGTGGTGCCGCGGTAATGCAGGAGGTGCAAGAGATGCAGGTTCAATCCCTGGATCAAGAAAATCCCTTGGAGAAGGAAATGTCAACCCACTCCAGTGTTCTTGACTGGAAAATTCCAAGAACAGAGGAACCTGGTGGGCTACAGTTCATGGGGTTGCAAAGAGTCAGACACGACTGAGTGACTGAACACACATAGAGAGAAAAACCCAAGAAACACCAGACGATGGGTGGGTAGCCAATGGGAGCTGTATGTGTGTGCTGGGAGAAACTTCCCCATAAGAGAGAAAATTCTAGAACTCATTCTTAGTATGCTGATGGCAATGATGACAGCGTGGGGTTGGTAACGTCGGTTATAAAGGGT